TCCCCGAATGAACTGCTCAATGGGCACGAGCTTCTCAATCTCATACGGAGTACCTCGCTTTATCCACTTCTCCTCATGGCGTGCTGCTGGTTGGAGTGGTGCATGCACTTGTGGTGGTTCCTACTGGTAACTCACCCACTAGGATCTACCAGTGATACACTTGTTGTCCTGTACTTAATACCTTAGATCCCCCGATCTCCTCCATTAGAGTATAACAGTTTCCTCTTCATATACAGTATTTTCGCTTTTCTTCCTATCATTGCTTCTAGCTCGGAGTCCTCACGTACTTCCTACATTGACTATACAACCTATTGACTTTTGCATCACCCTTCCACCCCAATCCATTCTCTGTACTCTCTTTCAACCAACTAGCCAACCCGCAAATAGGCTAAAACGAGCATTGGAGATGAAGAACACAATCCCATCAGACGTATGGGAGAGGAAGAAAGCCTTGATCGCCAAGCTATACAAGGACGAAGAGTGGCCTCTCAAACAAGTCATTAAACAAATCCGATCTGATGACTTTAACCCAAGGTGAGTCATTCTAAACAACTGTTCTTGTGTACGGTTGATCTAATTCTATGGCAATCGTCAACAGTGAGACTCAATTGCGGAGTAGATTAAAGAAATGGCGTGTTACCAAACCCTCTCGGCAGACTCGGAAAAAGTCTCAGGATGACCAACCGGATGTCAATGGAGATAGCAGTAGCCACGAGGCAGGGTCACCAAAGGACGAGACTCCAATTTCTCCTAAGACCCAGTTGTGCTCGACACAGAAACCAGATACAGTATTATCCTCTTCCGAACCAGACTTCTACATGGGCGATGGATCATATACGCATCATGATTTCCCTACCACAGGATCCTTCAACAACCAGAATGCTTCCAACGCCTGGGCTCATGACAGGGATTCTTCTGTGGTAGTTATTTCTACCTCTAACTCCTTCGAACCATCATCCCATACCTCGCCTCTAATAGATGGCGTTATACTTGACTCGGCGTCCTCGATGGGCTCGTTCCAAAACTCTCATTATGCGGTGACAACAGCTTCATGCATGACAACCCCGACAACTGCAGAGACAGCACCAATCAGTTGGGTTGTGCCTCAGTGGTATCCGATACATTTAGAGGCTGGTGCTCACCCTTCATCAATGCCATATTACACAGCCCCACCTCTGAGCCCCCCCATCGATCCAGCAATGCAGATGGTATCTCCACACCCTCCTCATCGGCTATATTCACCCCCTTCCCCAGGGTGCTCGTTCTCGCATGAGCAGGTGTTTGACCTACATGACGCGAGGAAGCCATCTTTCCGCAGTATGCCTATTCCCTATAGCCCCGGTACCGCTGGCGGTCACTCAAGGGCCAACCAAAAGGGAGGGCAGCAAGAGAAGATGTCATTCCCTACCAAGTTATCCAACCACTCTCCGGTTGGACCAGTGACTCAGTCCCCCAATTTCCCCAGCGGACATCCTGTGATGTGTGCGCCGACATTTCCCTATTGACCAAAACACTTTCTATCTATATACCTCTCTCGGCATTGATTGTCGGTCTGCTTCCGTTTCTGCATTCATAAAAATATATAGGTATTCACAGTGCTATTCCAAGACTTCTTGAGTAATGTGTTACCATGCATGAAATTTTCCTTTTTCTCCATTTTACCCATCCCCTCACCCCCTTCCCTTCTTTTGGTGGTCTTGGTTTGTCTATGTGTATATGGAATTTGGAGAGGAAAATGGTGGAATTTTCGTTTACGGCGGTGGTATGCTGAATAATGAAGCTACATGATCTCAGCAGGCCATGAGATCCTTGGCGCAACGGCAGGTACTACAGGACCAGGGGAGTATTATTTGATATCCATGAGCAAAGAAGGAGTTAAGGTGTCCAGTTGCATACCTGTACATTTAGCCATTCGAAACTATTACTGTTCGCTAATTCGGAATCCGGGCATTGGGATTCGGTTTCATCAATGTTATATCTTGGAGCTTCAATATTTGTATCTACTTCAGACGTATGTACATCCTTCATTGGTTAACATGAAGGTTCATTTGCACACTTGCAGAAGGGCTAGTGAGGAGGAGTATGAGGTAATCATTTACACCGTTCAAGGAGGTCAAATCATCTTATCCGACAATGGACCTCGGCACATCCCAGAACGCGGGGACAGCTACTCAACTTTTAGCGCTCCTCTGTAAACCTATTCCCTGCTACAGAACAAACTTCGTTATATTCCTAGAATTCCATCTAAACTCACTGCTAATTTTCTAATTAAAGCCCCTCGCTGCCATTCCCATCCCTCTCACAACCTTAACCTAACGTATATCATCGTCATTGCATTGTTTCCAATCATCCATCAATATGCGTGCTATTCAGGTCAAAGAATATGTCAAGGTAAGCGAACGGATATCTACCAGGTAATCTTTGGTCATGGATTCGTTACTGATCAAGTTTGAAAAGGGGCCTCTGGATCTACAAATCACTACACTTCCTACCCCAGCCCCATCCCCCAATGACTACCTAATTGAGATTCACTCAGCGGGTACCAACTTCTTCGATCTCCTTCAGATACAAGGAAAATACCAACACCAACCTCCACTCCCGTGGATCGGAGGTGCCGAGTTTGCCGGAACTGTTCTAGCCGTGCCAACGTCCAAATCCTCCTTGCAAGCGCGCTTCAAAGTCGGCGATCGTGTCTTCGGCGCCACACAGGGGGCCTACGCTACCCACATCCTCGCCCCTGAGCATACTCTACTCCCTGTCCCAGATGGGTGGAGTTTTGATGACGCAGCTGGACTCTTCGTCACTGCACCTACCTCGTACGGCGGTTTAGTGCACCGAGCAAACGTGCAGCCAGGGGATTGGGTCCTCGTCCATGCTGCTGCCGGTGGGGTCGGATTAGCTGCTGTGCAGATTGCGAAGGGTAAAGGCGCGACGGTAATAGCAACTGCTGGCACAGAACGCAAAAGGCAGATCGCACGAGAGTTCGGGGCTGACCATGTCATCGACTACCGAAATGCGGGCTGGCCTGAAGAAGTGAAGAAGCTGTGTGCGCAACATCGAACTGGCAATGGGAAGGCAGGTGTGGACATTGTTTATGATCCTGTGGGTATGATCGATGCCAGTTTGAAATGTGTCGCATGGAATGCACGCCTACTAGTTATTGGGTTCGCAGCGGGCAAGATCGAGAAAGTCGCGCTGAATCGGGTGCTTCTGAAAAATGTGAGCATTGTGGGGCTGCACTGGGGGCAGTATGCCAAGTTTGAGAAGGGCACCGTCGGCACTGTTTGGAATGGGATCTTTGACCTCGTGGCTCAAGGCAAATTTAAGGGGACAGCTTTTAAGGATGAAAGTTTTGTGGGGCTAGAGAGTGTACCCAGGGCATTGCAAGCGCTTGGAGGAAGGGAAACCTGGGGTAAAGTGGTTGTTAAGGTTATTGATGAAGCAAGGAGTAAGTTGTAAGGATGAACAGCTACTACTATTTGCGTGTAGTATAGAAAATTTTCATGTTGAGCAGTTGATGTACATCCAGATATATTATTCTTAAACGTATACTGTAGGTGCGCAAGGAGTCATGCTCTCGTATGAAATAGAACGCGAGCAACATGAACTATGAAGGCCCTGTGCTTTTCTCTAGCAACTGAAAATAGGAACTCGAGATGGATCCTTACAACCCAGCTCCAGTCGGAAGCACAGCCACAAGACATGGCATGTGAAGACCGTCCTTCAATGAAGGGCCCGTGATAATAGTCTAGCAATCAACTTGTCCAAATGGATTCATAGACCGCATAGACTTGAGGCAGCTGGATTGTGTAGTTGCAATATACTCCGTATGGTACGACAGTGTTAGTAAAGAAGTGATGGGAAAGCGTCTTGCATGAACACTGGCTCGTGGCGGTTTTCGTGTAATGGTCTGGATACATTGAGGACCTTGATTTGCAGGATTGAAATTTCTTGGCCGCCTTCCAGATCAACATTAAAGCTGGACATCGACTTGCATGCGAATGGTGGTGTGTGATGTGAAGATTTTGTTGGGACTCTGATTTTGTTTGCCGGTCTCTCCACTAACTAGTTAGCTCCTCGGTTAGAGCTTAGTCATCAGGATCACCATCTGTGTTTTGTGCATTATCGCCACGTGATATTTTGGTCGATAACACTGTAGTGTTGTTCTATCTCGATAACTCTGTAAGAGTCATAAGTAGCATGCTCATAAACCTGCTACTGTCGATATTGTCCTAATTATTAGTACATCTGGAAAGACAGTACGCAAATATTGACGAGGGTCTGCTATCAGAACAGCAAAATCGCGTTGTTGCACTATATACTTGACCCAAGACCTCCTACGACTTACGTACTTGGTCGGAAACCTACAGTGGAGCTATTATATCCCTGTTTAATGCTTGCCTCCTCAAGTGCGATTACCGGTAATAAAACTCTAGTGCAGAAGATGTTGAGTATGGCTGCCCAAGTATTCACCAAAATACCACTTTAGGTAAGCTGCCCACAATGGCATGATCCAGCAGACAAAGAAATAAAGAAAAAAGAAGCAGGTAGCTAGGATATATGTGTAAGCAGAAGACGGCCCCTAGATAGTTCAGGATAATTAGATAGATTCTCCGTCAGTATTTCTTAGAAGATACCGGTGTCGCTTGTAACAGTACTACATACTACTACTAGTAGTATGAACAACTTCGGCTTGAGTGGTCCTCTACGTCATCGGCACGCACTCCCCACCAACCCATCCAGCTATCGCAAGAGCTGTTTCAGCTTATATATGAAAGCATATATTCCGAATCCTGGCCGTTGGTGACAATATATCACTCGGTGCAACACTGCAATTGCCTTGTTATATAGTAACTGTTCACAGTTATCTGACTATTGAACATGCCCATGTCGAAGCATTTGTCCAGGTTTAGCCATCACCCACGTGCAGCTTTTGGGCCGCTAGAGTGTCCATATGAGGTAATTCCTATTGTCAATGAATTGAGTTCCCAACGCAGAGGATGGCTGATGTACTGAAATCACAGGGTAGGGATGTCATGGCGTCATGCCAGTTTAATAAAGGCTCTGCATTCAGTGAAGAAGAGCGGAGGGTTTTCAAGCTGCATGGTCTATTGCCTCCTAACATCCAAACTTTGGAAGAGCAAGTCCAGCGGGCATTTCAACAATACAAGAGCCGTCCCGATTCTTTGGCGAAAAATACTTTCATGGCAAGCATGAAGGCACAGAATGAAGTTCTATACTATAAAGTACGTTAATGTGTCATCAGCTTCCATGAAAGCCTGAATGGTTAGATTAACTCTCTGTCACAGTTGATACAAACCCATCTGAAAGAGATGTTCAGTGTGATATACACACCCACAGAGGGTGATGCAATTCAGAATTACTCGCGTTTATTTAGAAGGCCAGAGGGCTGCTTCTTGAATATAAAAGACCAGGATAGAATTGAAGAATGCCTTTGCAATTTTGGTCGCGGCATAGATGTTGATTACATCGTCGTTAGTGATGGTGAGGAAGTAAGGAACATTCTTCTCTTAGATCCTAAGAGCAGCTCTCACGCTTTCAATTGCAGATACTGGGCATCGGAGACCAAGGTGTCGGATCCATATTAATCTCTGTTGCCAAGCTGGTCCTCGCAACATTATGTGCTGGAATCCACCCTTCTCGACAGCTGCCCGTAGTTCTAGATTGCGGCACAGATGTATGGTCATCATAGCAGCTCATAAGTACCGGGCTAAGTTGATGGCAGAACAAAGATTTACTCGACGATGAGTTGTACCTGGGCCTTCGACAGCCGCGTGTCAGAGGCGAGGAATACGATCGGTTTGTGGCAAAGTTTGTGACAACTTCCAGGAGATTGTTTCCTAAAGCCTACATCCATTTGTTCGTATTGATCTAAACGCTCCATTTGCCTCTTTTCCTTAGCACCCATGCCCCTTTCTAATAGCCTTTCTGTCCCTCCTCCTCATATCCTCTCTTCTGGAGCCTCTGGAAATAAACTGACACCCATCCAGCGAAGATTTTGGCCTCCATAATGCCAGCAGACTTCTAAATCAGTATCGAACACATATTCCCTGTTTCAATGATGATATTCAAGGAACAGGATGCGTGACTCTGGCGGCTTTAATGGCGGCTTTTCGTGTCGGTAACATCGAGTTAGCAGATGTGCGTGTAATTATCTTTGGCTCGGGCTCAGCTGGTACTGGAATTGCGAAGCAAGTCGCCGATACCATTGCTACAGACACTGGCAGAACAAAGCAAGAAGCTTCAGCACAGATATGGTGCGTCTTTTGTAAGAGGTCATACTGATGGTTGGATGGTGGCATGGTAGCTAACTTCAATGGAAAGGTGTCTAGATAAGCCAGGTATTTTGCTCAAGTCTCTTGGTGACCAACTTACCGTAGCCCAAGCACCATTTGCGCGGGATGACAACGAGTGGCCCAAGGAGAAGGGCACAGATTTACTTTCAATTGTAAAGGAGGTAAAGCCGCATGTCCTGATCGGCACGTCAACGAAGCCAAAGGCCTTCACAGAAGACATTATTCGGGAGATGGCAAAGCACGTTGAACATCCTATCATATTTCCCTTAAGCAACCCTACACGATTACACGAAGCTTCACCAGGGGACATCAACTATTGGACGGAAGGTCGAGCTTTGATGGCCACTGGGAGTCCATTCCCTCCTATTGAGCGTAACGGAGTAGAATACGAAGTTGGTGAGTGATATGCAGCCATATTTCAAGGCAATACAAGGCTATTATTCTCAGTCTCTGCTAACACAAGCATCACTCTAATTAGCGGAGTGCAACAATTCAACCTGCTTTCCTGGCATCGGCCTTGGGGTGGTTCTATCTCGGACGCGGATCCTCTCTGACAAAATGTTGGTGGCAGCCGCCAGAGCGTTAGCTTCTCAGTCTCCGGCTTTACAGGATCCAAACCGGCCTCTCCTTCCCGATGTTGAGCATGTACGCGAGATTAGCGTGCATATTGCTCGGGCAGTCATCGAGACAGCAATTGAGGAAGGATATGCCCAAGAGAAAGGAATTCCCAACCATGAGAAAGATTTGGAGGAGTGGATCCGGATGCAGATGTGGGAGCCCATTTATAGGCCGCTTGTAAAGGCAGGGCAAAAGTAAATTCTGGTGTATGCATGTACCTCGTCACATGCCCTTCCTCTCGCAACTGTGGGGATGGGAATATTTCCACGCTGAACGGAGTGGGCAATCAGCATCAAGGGAGTAGCGCTGTAAGAACGGGCTGTGTGTTTATAGTGGTCAAGCTAGACATACGATTTTCGTACTGTATATTTATCTCTGCAGACACTCTGGTTGAGTAAAAGTCCGCATTAGACCTAGCTCATAATTATGCAAATTCCGAAAGCGCACTAGTCTGTCTGGGTTTAGTACCATATTATTGGGCAACATATATGCCAAACATCATAATATGCGATTATAAAATTAGCGGCTTCATGAAGCGAACCGCCTGAGCTTGCTGAGGTAAACTATATATGTATATCACTGCACTCATGACCATTGAATAGTGGCTATGAAGCTGTAGTAAACAGTCTAATCCATCATCTCGCAGAACCACTTGATTTGGCAATGGGCTGTGGCGGATCCAGGATCGGCCTGGAAGCCGTAGATTGGCATTAAAGGAAAGAACAGGTGTGGACTCCGGTACACCCCTTCTGGAGTGAGACAATGCGGCTCTAACCTGCACCGCCTTGGTGCTACATACTCGTAGTAGGAGAAACTGCGGGGGGAAAGGCAGTGTAAATCCGACGATACGAGTGTGGCTTGGTTTTTTTTCGGTCCAATGATCGATGGAGCTCTCCTTTAACTACCCGTAATTTTATGGACATTAACTTTCAGGGTGAAGTCATGTCCCTTAAACGACCTCTCCTCCATACTACGCAATCATGATATTTTTCACAATAAAGGTTGGTTCGCAAAAATATAAAATTACTATCCTGTCCTAACTACCCCTTTATCCTTGTTCGCTAGCAGGTCATGCGATTCAATCTTTCAAGCATCTCTTCCCGCTCTATATCCAAAAGCCCGCTATAGTAGCCTACGTTGATAAAGCCCAACAACAATCTCCCAACTCAAGAAGATCATCGGTTTTCCGGCATCAAAAAGAGGGAGGGAAATGAAGGTTGCCTTCATAAGTGTCATTCTCCTTCTCCCGACTGCAGCCCTCAGTATCCCACAGTCAGATCTAGCCGAAGGCGTGGTTCTTGTACCTAGATCTCATGAACCCGTATATTTAGAAAAACGGCGTGGTGGTGGAGGAGGACGAGGGGGAAGCAGTGGTGGTGGAAGTGGTGGGCGAGGAGGTAGTGGCGGTTCTACATCAAGAGCAGGGTAAGTGTCCCAAATTCCTAAAGCGACACGAGCTTTAATAACTAACCCGTCATTTTTTATGCAGCTCATCTAGCAACTCCGGCGGCTCTTCTCGCAGTGGGTCAGGGCCACAGCCCACCTATGGTAGAGGTACTTACTACGCGGGCGGTGCTCGCACTCCCTATACCTCCGGTGCTCTATCGCCACTAGGAGTAGCGCCTGTGATACTCCCAGCAGCTGCTTTGGCATTCTTCGGCGGTATCTGGCTGTACGGAGCTTACGCCTATCCATATAACTACCATTATCAATATGTGGACCAGATCACACACCATAACGCATCGATGCCGGTAGTCTGCTTGTGCGAAAAATACGCAGAATGTGCATGCGATGACAATTCGGATAGATCGTATTACGAATCTATTTTCAACGGCACCCAACCTACAAATTCCAGTGTCGCTAAAATTGTCAAAGTCAATGGCACTGAGACCATTTATATCAATGGTACGTTGCCTAATGGGACGACTGTTGCGGACGCATCTACACCTTCTGGCGCTGCTCGGACGGGGATTCAGATCAGTGGATATTGGTCAATGGTCGCCTTGGTGGCCAGTACCATTTGGGGTCTGTGATGCCGCCGTTGGGCTTACCCATTGGGATAATATCTTACAGTCCTCCCAAGAGCAGTTTATGGTAGCTGCTGTCTTTTTCTTCTTCTTTTGGTGAGTGGGAGAGGGCTCTCATTCACACATCTCCTGGCCTTATTTGATACCCACCCTCGGGCGTTGGATGGGGGCACATTGATTGTTCATAATGATACAAACCTTTTTTTCATGAGATACTTGGTCTTGTCAGGTTACTCCTCGTAAGACCCCTTTTTGGACAGCCTTGGCTCGTGATCCTACGACCCGCCGCAACAAATTTCGTTCAAAAGTAGTCGAAACTTCCCCACTAGACTCGTTCGGAGACAAATTGCCTCAAAAACAGAGTCCCTAAAAGCCCCTCAAAAAGTTTATCTGATGCTACCCTGTCCGTGTATAAACAAAGAAGGACAAAAATGTATGTCCCACGAAGTCAGAGAGAAAGACCTTTCACGATAATGAGTCTAGCTGCTGCAAATAGCTCTCATATTTCGGTGTGGAGCAAGGGAAACCCCTACAGGTACCTGAATTGCTCGCCCGCTTAGTTGGTGTTTCCATGGTTCCAGAAACTGAACTAACGGGTTAGTCAGGTACGAGCAACTTCACAGTAGTGGACGCGCCAAGTGAAGAGATCGACACCTTGCAATCAGAGTTTCCTATACGAATGGACAAATGAATGAATGTATTACGACGGTGTCCTGCTAGTCGACAGACCAGCTGTTTAGGTAATAAAATGACACGCTCGGGGTCTGCGGACAGTGGCCGAGCTTGGAATATTTACCCTACCTTTCCGTTATAGACGCCCCGTTTCTCTTTAGTCTGAACCCCTTTTCCCTCGCCTTTTACCCCCCCCCAGTCGCTCCTTCATTTTGATTTCATCAAAGCAGCGTGCTTGCCATTCATTTAATCTTGCCTCTTCTCAACTATACACAAGAGCTGTCACTCATTTCCAGCTCCATTCACTCTTTTAACCAACGTACAAAACCCAGAAAAGTAACAAAATACATATACTACTATCTCGCACTTCTTTCGCCTTCCCGCCCTCACGCGATTCAAAACAAAGCCAGTCCAATTGAAATCGCACACCACACAGCCATTCGAGCCCTTTATCCCGTTGTGGTCAAGATGCAGTTCAGCAAGGCTCTTCTCATCATCACCGCCGCTCTTGCGCCTGTCGCCCTCGGAGAGGATGCGCCAACCAAGACCCTCACCATCCAGGTCGTTCCTGCAACGACTTCGAACCCGGCGCCGATTTCTACGGCGTCTCCCAGCTCTTCTGCTTTCTCAACCCACACTCCTTCCAGCTCCGCTAGGGCGTCTTCCACTCCACTCTTTTCCAAGACCCCTTCTGCGACTCCTTCTGTGACACCCTCATCGTATATCGTCCCCCAGGCTACTGGTGGTGCCTCTGCCATTAAGCTCCCTAATGCAATGGCTGCGGGAGTTGTCGCTGTTGCTGGCTTCATAGTGCTCTAAAGGCCTTGAGAGCAGTTCAAAGCAACGCGCATGGACGACAATGGTCATGTCTCTGTCAATGAACCGATATGACTGCAGTAGCACCATCTGTATTGCTTCTGAACACTTGATTGATGTGCTTTGTGGGCCAAGCATAGAGAAACGATAATACCAATAGGGAGTTGGCAAACCCAACTGCATATCAACTACTCCTCCAAAGCCAACTGACTTCCCTATACCTGTCTCATTACTCATGCGATTCTCCTGAGCAGCTTCAGCCAAGACTAGGGGTTCTACATGATGGTGTCCATCATTTGTTGGGACGGGTCGCCATCTTTTCTTTTCTTTTACTATACTGTGATTCGAATTTTGATTGTCAGCCTCGTTGATAGCTTAATTCCCTGTCACCCATATTACGATTTCGACCTTTATACCCTTTTTCTTTCTTGATCTTGAAAATCTTTTATTGGATTTCTTTTGGCTTCACCCGGCCCCAGTTCATGTTTCGAGGTAACGAGTGTAGGACTGAATGGACTGCCGATGATTGAAACTTGCCTTGCTCATGCTTAATTTAATCTCGAGATGTTGCCTCCGACTATGCTACTATATAATACAATGTTCTAGTATTTACGCACTAGTAAGGATTAGTCGATTGTCATATGATGTTCAAAAGAAATACTTCTATTTGGCACAATATTAGATAACATATGGACAATAGTACAAGGATTTTATGGAAATCGAACCATAAAGGCTGAGTATAGGACATAGATTGGGAACTCTTGTTCCTTCAACCCTAATCAAGCCATGTTGGTCAAATGGCCATTTGATGTACAACCAAGACGTCTGGTAAATATACACGCGAAGGAGAGCTCTTTAACCCTTGAGCGTCGCCTCGTATCTGTGGTTGAGTTGGTTAGCAGACAAACATAGAAGGGTGCTGATAGGGATATATATAACGAACCTCTTCCCTCTGAATGCCCATAACCCCCAGTTTCCGCAAGAAACATCATGAGGGTCTAAGTCATTAAGGTCCCACCTCAGACTGCGAAAGATGTTTTCGCCTGGTTCCAACAAGATATCAAATTCACCTGCACATTTCTCATGGACCCAATTGATATCCCTCTCCATATCCCACTGCGTATAGCCAGTGCTGATAATCGGGACCTTTGTCTCTAGTAGTTGTGGTAGCGTTTCTTCCCATTCATGGGAGCTGGCCGGGTGTCCGAGACCAGGGTGGAAGAGCATGATGCAATCTAAATATGGATCGAACGGCTGGAAATATTGTGCTTTGTACATTGTGTGGAAGTAGTCGACGTACGTTGTAATCTTCATCTGCCCGCCAAGTCTATCTTCCACGATCCCTCCGAACGGGTTCTCAGCCGTCCGTTCAGGAAGTGGGAACTCAGCGTCTCGGTTGGCCATGCTCTCTGGTCCAATAAAAACTAAATGGATGAGGGATCGTGGGAAGATGTAACTGAGCTGAAGCCAGACTTCACGAGGCAGAGAAGATTCGGCACGTGCCCCCAGAATGAATATCCTAATCGGTGGGGCCTTCAAGCGCAATCCTTGAATATCAACTCCTTCTCCAGTCTTAGGAGGGTGTAGAGTGTATCGAAGCGCTGAATGGACAGGGTCAGTAGGTGGGTTCATTCGTATTGATCTAGGATAACTTACCGCTCACGCTCTTGAGCCCCTCGACTGTAAGTCTACCACCTTTCCGAACGCTGTAAGGGCTCAGCTCGTGCAAGACACTTCCAATAGTAAGAGGGTAAGTGAGCATCCTAGTCACTTGTCGCATACTCCGATCATGGTTGATCGCATCGAACTCTCGCGTATACAAAAATGTGTCCCAGTTCGTCATGTTGATGACGAAGTTATCATCTTGAAGACCTGGATAAGAAAACTCGGGGAAAAACCGACCAGAGTGGAGATCGTGATCATCCTCGTTTATCTGTCTGATGGTCTCACAGATCTCCAAATGTGCCTCAAAATCATCCATCCAGTGGCCTTCTGAGCAATAGATTGGGACACCACAGTCAGGGCATTCAAAATGTGAATGGGCTGGGGGACTCGTGCTTTGCTGGCCCTTTCGCGACTCGGGGTCATGTGGGGAGACTGGTGCACGGGTCTGTTGGTGACTAGGGTGAGGGCAAAAGGCATTTTGTTTGATAAACGCAGCACGTTGCCGAATCGAAGGTGAAGGCGACCGAGAAAATGGATGGAACAAGTTGTTTGGTTGCAGCAAAGCACGCGTTTCTGGCGAGTAAGTCGACGTGGCGGACGTGGCTCGCTGCACACATTGCGGAAAGTTGTGTGATATAGCATTGGAATTAAAGGACAAAGGCGTAGTGGCCCGCTTGATATGGCCTTGGAGACTTTTGGATGTGAAGCGACTGTCACTTCGTGAACCAAAGCTTCGCACGAGGGAGACCGATGGCCTGTATGTCCGCCTTGGGTTATATGCCGTCTGCAATCGAATCATAGGGCCATGAGCCGCAACATTTCGCCGGAGCACCTGTAGACAACGTCCACAGGTATATTCGCCAGTCATTGTGATGGTTGCTAGAAGACGACCCAAGTAGCAATCATCTGCTGATGCGGAGAGTTGGCAATTGTTCTTTCTGAGGAACGATCCCGCATTGGCACGTGATCAAAGGGTCATGAAATCCAAATTAGATCCATATTACTGAGGGCCTTTGGGTGAATTTCTATAACTTTGTGCCCATTATTAATTACTGATGATCATATGATCCCACTCGAGTAAAATCTTTGTACCCAAATAAAATCACGAAACAAGGCTGTGACACATTGAAAGACTACTAGAACTGCTTGTAGGATTGAACCCAAAACCACCGAAGTGCGGCATAGATATCATCCTCAGAAGATGTCCTCACATATACTCCAGTCCTGTGCTTCCCTGGCAGCCCAATACTTCCCATTGTGCGCCCAATACTCTTCACTAGTAATTGGGCACTTTTTCCGAATGAAGAACTTTGGCTGATACTCTTCTCCTTTTGTCTCTCTCTCTCTTCGTTTGGCTCGTTGCTTTTCTTCAACTCGATGCTTTTCGTTAGCGGCAATATCGTATTCTCCCTCCTCCATTGCACGTTGATCGGGCCGAAGTCGGGTGTCAGTTGGGGGGAGATACTGTTTCAGATCTTCCGGAAGGGCATTCAACGTGATAACGAAAGGCGTTAAGTTGAACGGGATACCACTTGGGCGGGAGTGGCATTGCCATACCAAAAACGCCTTAGACGACTCCGGATCTTGACTGGATACGTCCATCTCATATCCAGGAGTATGGCGAGCAAAAATCTTGTCGTTCCAACGGCCACCAATGCTCCATTTCGGGGATCCGTCCTTGTCTACGATCTTACCGGCCACCTGATAGGCAGACGAGGCTTTCCAGCCCCTTGGCTTGAAATCAAGATAGCAGGCCTCACCGGTCGTCCAGTTCTTGATCTCCATTAACCCATAGTTGTCAACTGTCGGGTTACCAGTAATAATGCCAATGACAGACGAGGTGACTTTTTTCCACGTGTAGAGCTCTTCGCCACCCGAAGCAGGGCGTAGCTTCAGGAACCAGGTTCCAAGAAGGTTGATATCAAAGGATTTCCCGTAGAACTTGGACTTAAGAGCTGATTCACCCTATTGAAACTCTTGTCAGTGTGGTGACATATCACTTTCATCCTATGGCTTGACCCTTACATAATAATCCCACTTTGGCGATTCCGCCCAGGCAGCACCAATTGGCGGGTGGTGGCTGACTTGCTCAACGAAGAACCGGTAGCCTTTATCGGGCCTGACATACTCGAATGTCTCCCCCAGAAGAGGGTTGAACGGTTTGGCAACACGGCCTATTGTCGAGGCATACTCACTCGCCGCATAGGCAGCGACGTACACCATGCGTTCCATTGAATCAGATCGATCAGCAGCCACATCAAGAAGATCCGCATACTCCAGGTCTTCAGCCACACGTTGTAGTAAAGACGTGGGTTCGTTGAAGGAAACCGGCAGAGTCATTTTGGTCATGTCTTTTCCAATCATCGATTTCAAAATACCCTAAGATGATGATGATAATAAGTAAAACGTCGCCTGTTGCTTACTAGCTTGGTAGTGGTTAAATATCACTCACCCACAAGGATATTTTTGGCCGATTATCATAATCCATCTTCAATTTCGTTCGGATGGGTTCCTCATATCCTTTGAACGATGGTGCTATTTCCAGCCGTTTTATGGCCCTCAACTCGGTTCTTTCTCCCACCGATTTTTCCTTTTCGGTACTTGCTTCTGTATGTGCTAAGTTCTCCACTTCGATTTCCCCGGAGTCAATCGCATCAAAGAATTCGTCCTCGTTATCCGATGCTGAATCACACAGATCACTGATCTGAGAAAGAGTCGACTTCTTACGACGAAGTGGTCGCCCTGCTTCTTGCTCGTCAGCCTGAGAAAGACTCTCAGCTCCTGAAGCATGTGCCTCTATCCGCTCGTCAGTCCCGTCATCTTCTTCGCCTGTAGATGCCATGCGAGATGGCGCTTTACCGACAGCACAACTAGTGGCTGCTGACGAGACCTCTAAGACTTCCTTGAGGGCACGCTTCGTACGTCGGCGCTTCTCCTCAGACTCTCCCATCTTTGATTGTAGCTCTTCATGTTCCTGTGCAACTCGTGCCATGCTTTCTTCCCACATCTTACGGAGATGTGCTTCCCTATTCAATCGATACTGCCAGTAGGCATCGCGATCCCGGGATATCTTGAGGAGATTTTGCACTAGCCCCTGGAGACTACTCACGGCTGCTCCATAAGCAGCTAGAGCTTGATCAACTGCCGAGTCCGCGAGCGACAAGTTTGGGTTTCTCGACTTCTCAGTTTGCAGTGAGGACGCTACACTTGCGAGGATATCAAGTTGAAGATTTGCAGACTGCGCAGTGATATTCAAAGCGTCTTTATCAGCCATTGGCACCTCCCGGCTGGACGCATAATCACCATAATCATCATCATCACCCTCGCCTTCGGGCACAGTGGTTACATGGCTGGCCACCCGATTTACCTCATTTTGCAGAACACCCTGGTCGTATGATCCTTGGAAAGAGCCTTCCTCATCTGCGGGTATGCTCTCCAGTGTTGTGCGAGACGCCTGCGCGCTATGTCTCGTGACACTATTACCTGGAACACCTAGAGATGGAGCAGTAAGGCCCTTACCGCTAGACTTGGTAGCAGCGAGGCAGGGTGAATCGGATGAGCTATCAGCTGTTCGTCCCTCAATCTGTTCAATCTTGGCTTGACGGAGCACCTCGGCATGCCGAGATTGGCGTCTCTCTTCCTCTTTTGCCTCATCTTTTGCCCACTGTATAGCATTATTGAGAGTCCAGAACCAACGCTTTGCCTCGACAACATGATTAGCTTTAAGGTGGTATTTGACGGATGATTTGCCATGAATTTCAAATCGAGTCTTGTCTTGCGAGTCCATGTTGAGTTTAGCGATTTTCATATTAATAGCACCACGACATGCAGACCCGGCATCATCTGATCAAAATAAGTTAGACACCAATGATGGTTGTAACAATTTGGGGCATCTCTCGTTGCTTACCTTGATGCTTATAATAGCTAAGAACGCCGTCTTCGAGTACAAACCACCGCAGTTTATAACCACTAGTGTAGTTTGTCCATTTCTTCAAGTAACCCCTCATTTCGCGAGAATCCTTTCCCGCAAAAGGTGCCTCCCCTACACTGGCTCGGCCCAAAACGCCTTGACCCGAATTGGTCCCAAGAATGGCCTTCTCTTGGATGCCGCGCTGAGCAATAACAGCAGCGGGAGACTTTTTGACTATTGCACGTGTCCTGTCGTCCTTTGTGACATCCTGTGGCAATTTACCCTTTTTGTCGCGGCGGAAGGGATCTGCCCCATGCATCAGTAATAACTGGATGAGTTTCGTATCTTTCCTCCTGGCACCCTCATGCAGCAGGGTGCCGCCAGACTGAACCGTAGCAGTATCAGTGACCAGGTCCAAACTATTGATATCCATTATTCCTTCAACCCGTGGCTCTTCCAGTACCTTCTCTAGCTGTTCATAGTCACCTTTGGAGATGAGTGACTGGATTTCTTGGGACTTGCCGTCAATGAAGAGCGATCGTGCAAGCTGGAGTTGTTGAAAGATCTCCGGGGTGCGGGCAACATCTAGAGCTGTTTGGCCACGGTAGTTGACAACTGAGTCATTGAGAGGAGGACGATTCAGTAGCTCACGAACTAATGATCCTCTTCCGAGCTGGGCGGCGAGGTGGAGTGGTGTATTACCATCTCTATCACGCGCGTTGATATCGAGTTCATAGCCGCTAGAAAGAATATATTCAACAACTTGTGGTTCGGCGCATTGGATCGCTAAATGGAGCATAGTCGTTCCGGAGAGACTGTTTGCTCCCTGAGGATCTTTAGTCTCTTTGATAGCTTTTGATATCGCGGTTGTATCCCCACTCCGCAGGATCTCAAAAAGTCTAAATGTCCTTACAGACTGGTCTAGCGACATACTAATGCTGTCTGCAGTTGTAAATGCAGCCAGCTTCTCGATATGATCACCGCTTTGATTGGAGCGTACCTGCTCCAAAGCGTTTTCGTCCGACATAAGGGGAGCGTTTACTTCTTGACGGGACTGTCGATGGGTTGAGCTTTGAGTAACAGCTAGAGCAGATAAATGTGGCGTATCGTTTATTGGAGCGGAGGTAACAGATTCGGGCGAACCACTATCGTGGCCAGGCGTCCCCTCGTGGTCGTCTCTCGATTTATCACGGTGCAGAATTGCAAGCGCCAAGGCACTTCTGGAGCGTTTATGCCTAAGGGATTTGGGCAACACGAATTAGTAAAATACCCAAAGGGTCTAAAAGGTCTGCGAGCCACTCCTTGAATCGCGAAGGCGATGAAAAACGCCAGGTTCAAGTGTCAAATGATCTGAACGATAAATGACTACTAGGCTATCTGAAGCCAAGGACTCCAAGTATGCCTACAGCAACACACGGCCTCGACATATGATCCATGAAACCAAGGTCGTTTACTTCAAGAAGCCGCAGCGGAACTTACCCTGCACCCTTCTCCGTCATCGCTTTCTCGCCACGAGCGACACTTTAAATCTCCCCAAGTATTGCGGGGAAAGATGCATAGAAAGAGAGGTGACAGCTGAGGAAAGGCGTGGGGTTGTTAATTTAGGAAGTCACGAACTATCGCTAGAATGTTGATTGGTGAGGTCAAACTTTCATTCAACTCGTGGGAGCGTGATGATCGTCGCAAAGGGCCCCAAATTAACAGCAGGTTTTGTTATCCCGCGCCTTGGCGAGAAGACAGACGGTGGGATCTCTTCCAGCCAAAAACATTAATTATATTGCCACTCCCATAGGACGCCAAAGATGACGGCTGCCGGCTCTAGGCTTCCACTTGGGAGTCAAATGTAGGATCGGAAGGCAACGAAGATGAAGAAGCGGTAGCTCGGTGATGGGGAAAACAGGGTAAGAAGCTATGAAAGCTGTCACATGCATCTATTCAGAGAAAGCTAACAGGCTCATTGCCATGTGCAAATTATGGTTGCATGTGTAATTATAATGTACGATTATCCAAAAAATCTAAACTCGGCGTCTAAATAGATACAATATACAGCGTCAAAGGACAAAAACTTCGTCATTTCGTCACTCCGCTCACCAAGACAATGACACTACCAAGTTGTCGCTTCAAATCTTCCTTATCAACATCATGTGTATCCTCAACCTCACCCCACATATCTGTTTGCCACTTTACCTCCAAACTGGACGCTTCGGCTGCTTCTTCGATACCGAATTTCTTCTGATTCGGTCGTTGTACGTGGCGTAAATTTTCACTCCACTCCGATACCAGCCTCACAGCCACCAGTAGGCTCTTTGAAGCAAGAATACCCCTTTCGAGAGCAGCTAAATCGTGCGCTTGTAGGCCGAAAATCCATTGTTCAATAATATCATTAGTGGCTTGAGTTTGCGACACCGGCAGGATACTCTCAGAATCCAAAATGGGTCTAATCTCAATACCAGGCCACACCATGGTGCTTAAAAAAGAGATTATATTTTTCGCAACTCTCATCTGGGCCTCTCGGAGACTTTCTGGTCTCCGACCATGCTCGTCAACTTCCTCAATGCTGTAGTCATTCTTCTCTGGCACCCAACAAAGTAAGGTATCTGTCTCTAGATAGCGCATTGCAGTTTTCACAATTTGGCCTCTTGTAATCGTCTCGCCGTTCGCGTCTTCTCGGGCAATGTCCGCGGCTCGCGCAGCGAGAGAAGTTAGTGGAATCATATGATTTTTCAAAGCTTGCTGGGCTGAGGTCATGACATCCCATTCCAGAGCGATCAAATGCGCAAGGTGAGGCTTTGTTGGCGGAATATAGAGGACATCTTTTGCAGGGGTTCGAACAGGCCTGGTGTCTAACAGCACTTGGTAATCTCCTTCTGGAAGGCCACAAGGATGCAATCAGTCATATATTTACACATAGAACAGACTATAAAAAATACCTGGCTTCATCTTAACATCAACGCTCTTCCAGAACCTCTGTTTGAGAGTTGGAGGCTTTGCCGTTCGAGTGTGTAGCTCATTGCCATTTTGTTGTCTCGTGAGTTCATTGTACTCTGGAGCGACGGAGGGAGCCTTCGGAGGAGGGCCATGGGCTGTGACTGGATGAGCAATGGCGGCCTTCGGTGGGGAAAGGTGCAAAGAGCGCAACATCGCAACGTTGTGTCGCGTTGTGATCGAAAATATTCGCCGTGAAAAAGCCCCGGGGGCTTGAGAAAAACACAGCATCTTGTTTTCAACACCCCCTTTATGTACCAGGGAGGTAGCAGGAAAATTGCAATCTGCAATGCTTAGTAAACAGTTAATGTGCAACTATAGGTGCATGTATACTGTGCAGTACGTGAAAACAGGATACTACCAGGTGAGGCTTGTCCTAGTAGTACAGTATGTGCGTCGGGTTGCTACCTCAGGCACTAGTTGAAGCGGGTCCCTGTGCTGCTCGCCACTTCCGCCACACTTGAACTGGTGTACTCCGGAGGTAGTAGTACTCAATTTCTCTGGATTACATAGTCCACAGAGCCTACTATAAAATGGCCAGTACAGATTACAGATTAGGTGGTCAAGTTCTGGACGTTCTATATATGTATAGTGTGTGTGTGTGTGTGTGTATTATGGCAAACACAAACTCATAGTGGGTGTTTCTAGATATATCCCCTTAGCTTGTCCATCCACAAGTAACCTGGAATGTCGGTCGTGTTGAGCCTCTCAAAGTCAAACTTTATCATTACTAACTTGTAGCTTATTGCACGGTATAAAAATCAGTCAATCATCAATGGCGAAGGTTCAATTCATTAGAAATTACACCGAACGGTACTAATAACAAATGAACAAACCAAAGGCTCGCGAAAATTTCTTACTTCAGAAAGCCTCCCAAACTCCAACTCCGCTCTAACGAATGAAGAAAATGAGAAAAACAAGGGGTGTGGCACGAGTGGTAGGCGATCTCGCCCACGCCTTAGTAATTTACAAAAATATCTCCAGGTCGCCATTTTATTCTCCTTCTCTCTTTGTTTTATTGGGCATTCGGGGTAGGGAGTCAATAGGCCCATAGAAAGATAAAAAAAATATCTCTGTCCCATCTTGCGTTGTTGAGTCTGATCACTGCGGGTTCCTAGGTGTCTCGAAAGAAAAGGGGGGGAAGAGAAAGTTTAAAGGAAAGGGGAAGGCAGAAACAATAAAATATAAACACGTATAAAGAGAGAGCGACAGCAGAAGGGTTATTAAAAAGTGAAGCTGTGCTGCAGTATCATATAACGAGATATAATGCAATCAGATACCGAGGAAGAACCAAAGAGAAACCCGACAAGAGAGGTGGGTCAAAGAAGGTCGAGAACCTTGGAAGTTCTAAATCTTCCAGGTCTCATTTTGTTCAATCTCAAGTTGCATCGTTGTCATCGAGGCATTCCTTCGTAAGCATGAAAGAAAAGAGAAGTTAGATCATGGACAGAGCAACATTTTGGAAATGTCGCCATGACCTAGATGGGACATTGGTTGGATGGCTCTATCGAGTTATCGGTGGTATGCCTCGTTCGTCAGGTGATAATTGCAGAGCACATTCAATGGTGACAAGTTGGACGAGGTACCAATTCCCCATCAATCACTCATAGCCAGAATTATTGGGTGATGAACTTCGGGTAATAAGGTGACTTCGGACGGTCACTGCCTGTCCGCTTTTTCATACGCTCAGCGTCGTAATCGTCAGCACCATCTCTGCTACCCCATGTGGTCTGTGAGTACAGGGGAAATGCCCGTGTTAGCGAAATCTTCACATGATTATCCCGAGTGTGCCAAATGGGGACAAGAAACTTGGTACTAGGTATACACTCGCGGAGGCGGAAATGGACCAAAGAAAGAACAGAGGTGGGGCTAGAGGAAAATGGAAAAATCGAAGGAAGAGGCAACCAACGGCTGACCACACAAGTTAAACAGACCGTGACCCAAAATATGCACAAAACTAGGAGACCCGTGACCAACGCATATTTTGAGGCGGGGGTGAATGAGTGGTTTCAGATTGCTTGAGCAGAGAAGTGGCTAGAACCCAACTTCAAGCAGAAGGCTCCAAAACAGACCTTAGAGCTCTGCAACCTGCCTATTCTGCTGGAGATTCGAGAAACTAAAAAGGGAGGCTAATCTCAATTTGTAACTTACCACGTTGAGAGTCATGACTGCGTACATCTTTATTCCTCCGTGAAAATACCCAAAGAGGATAGACACAGGTAAGAGTAAGAAGTCAACGGGGTATCGGATATAATGCCCCAAAAGTTTGATGAATTTGCTAACAAACATCCATACCCCGAGGGTTTGCATTGCGAGTGCGTGTGAATCTTCCTCCCAAGAGGCCGTGGCTTTGTGGCACAGGAGGACGAGTAGCAAGTCGCCTAAGAGAGCCGGAGGTGACAAGGTGGTCAGATGGACAGCGTATGCGCTCCATGGCTGGCGACTGGTATCAAATTGTTAGCGTGTGACTTGGGGGAAGCTTTTTCTCCGTATGGTTTGCCAAATTCAGACATTGCACATATTGGCAAGTTACGTACGACTCTTGCAAATGATAAACTAGCCCCTTAAGGGACCCAGCTACCGCTGCCGGTTTGCTTACGCTGCCGTAATGCAAGGCTGCTGTAAAGCGTGCATCTATACTTGATCCGGTATATTCTCAAGTGGGCAGCATACCAGAACAGGAGGAAGAGCCGGGAGATGAGGAAGGGGTATATAATGAAGTACTTACTACCAGATATGCTTTTCATGGAACATACTAGTAAGGTTGCTCCTCCAATTGCTCCGAGACCATCGTGCGCATTGCTTCAAAAATTTGGGGTTATCTTCCAAGGTAGTCAGGACTTCAGCTTCGGGGTGGTACTGCATAAAGGTCTCCCAGCCATGTGACACCATCCAACGTGTAATGAAGTTATCGTCGTCGGCGTTCAGTTGATATCTGCCAAACCACCATTCCTCATTTGTGAAAGCATAAGTAAAGCCCTCGTCTTGCAAAATGTCCGTTCTATACGCCACAGTTCGCCCCGACATACAGGGAAGACCTCCATCAACATGCGTCGTGGCCGCGCAGTCAAAGTTTCTTCTCTCTAAGTAAAGAGCTCCTAAAAACCCCCAAATTCTCTGGGAGAATGTTGGTGCTGCAGCACGACGAAGCCTTTGGCAGGTCACTACACCTCCGTATCGCTCATCCTTCTCGAATGGTGCCAGAATCCATGGAAGTACTGTGTTTGGCCAACTCACATCATCATCAGCAAAGATAGTAATAGGCGTACGGACCTCTGGAATGGCCCTCGTCATCTGGCGGCGTTTATTAGGGTGCGTGACCGTAAAAAGCCGGATTCTCGACTTTGAAGCAGGCATCAAGCTCAACATTTTCTCGGCTCTCTTTCGATTTGCTTCGATGGTGACTAATAGGAGCTCATAAGGATGATTGTCAAGAATTGTTCTGATTGTCTCAACCAGCTCATCACCGCAGCCTCAAGAGTAGGAAGGATGACAGTCACATCTTGTGCGGTCAACCTCGGGTTCTCTGGTGGGAGAATGGGCTTGAAAGTCCAGAAAGATACAAGGTTCACAATCAGGCGAAGATAACGGTAAACACTGTGAACGATATGTTAGTTATTCAGCGTCTAAATTAGTGGTCTGTGTAAACAGTATTCTAGCGCAACAATAGAATAAGGAAAGGTCGAACTACTGACAAAAGAGCAATGAATACTCGCATATATGGAAATTCCATGGCGTCACAAAGACAGTGAGTAAACTCAGACTTGTTTTTTGAAACCAGCAGAGTTCATAAATTTTTTCATCACTTTTTTCTTCTTGTCCTGACAAATCTTTCTCCTGGCACACCTCGAATAGAGAGTTTTAGCCGTGCGCGAAGCCACAAAAATGACTAAAGCCGGAGGGTAAATGCGATCGACAGTTCGGCAATACTGCTACTACGGGATCAACTTCTAATTGCAGTGGGAATAGGAACAATGAAAGAAGTAGAACTGGGGGATTGGAAGGTCGTGTTCAGTAAGGGAAATTCAACGAATAAAAAAAGAATGGATGGTCCTCCCACGGGAGATGGAAGGTTAGAGTGAAGGGAAGTAGAGAAGGGGGGAGGGGGGAATGAATGAGGAAAAGAACTGGAGAGTTAGCAAATGTTCTTCCAACTAACAGATGCCCCTCGGTAGCTATATAGCTCTGGAAGGGGAATTCGTCTGGGCTAATTGGCTTTTCCAATGCAAAATATCAATACCTACAACACTGGGAAATTTTTATTTTGGTGCAGATGCCAGGGAAGGCACATGTTCAAGGCCGCATCCAGACAATCCATTGAGCCAATCCTCGAAAAGAAATAGAAAAAAGTTACGACTGTGCTCCAGTTCCTTTGTCATTTTGAGTGTCATGCAGGTGTATTTTTCCCTCGTGCGTCAGAGACCCTGGATCTAGATGAATTGATGGGATGCTGAGAGTGGAGAAGGGATTGGCGGCGGCCCATGCAGCTAAGGCACTACGGAGTATGCAGTGACATGGGCCAGAGAGTGGAGACAACTGGTGGTGTGTGTGTGGATATGATTCCTAAGCGCGATGAGGGTAGGATATTAGGGGGGCACTTTCCGGTTAGCAACAGTGTGATTGCTCTCGAATCGTCGAACACATACTGATTCTAAGGTAAGATATGAAATAAAAAAGAATAATGCACAACATATTATGATTCAATATCTGGTGTGTTTCTCCACCACATTCTTCACTTCTTCTACTACTCTTGAATAACGCCATCAATCATTTGCCTCAGGTAAAGTATACACTCAACCATAGCATTTAGCCGTACTTGTAGTACCTAGAACGGAACAAACGGTTCCATTATTGCTATCCATTCCTAAAATATCTCACTAATTTACTCATCCTGCTGTTGTAAAAGTTATGAAAACCCAATGGTATCAGTTATTTATAACTGTAATAAGAACATAGTACCTACGGAGTAAGTAGCTCACCCACCAAGCCTAACAAGTAATTACACTGACGAACCGATGGGCCAGCCCGTGTTGTATACTGAGCAAAGCAGAATCATAGGTGGATTTCTCGGTCGGTTCGAGTCAGAAAGTCTTCACGTTCCACTCTCTATTTTATCGCATATATATTTAAATTGTTAGAAATAACGAGTGGGAACGATAAGTTGATTATTCAAGTTTGACAACTTCTCTTAGGAGGTTTGGTCTCTGTCTTTCTCTCTGATATTTAATACCTTGGTGGGGAATATTTTGCATTTGCTGACATTCTAGTTCATATTATTCATTGCCAGTTCTGGAACTGTGTCAGCATCACACATTAAAACTGTTGAACAAATTCCACTAGATATGAATCCTCCCTCTGTAATAGCCCAAACACACAATACTAAAGTCTACTAAGTTTCTATTGGTGATCCATTGGATTATTGAAGCATCAGTATCCCTAACGAAAATCGAAGGGTAGGAGAGGTACCAAAGAAAGGGAAGGATTGGGGATAAACAGAGTAAGACCAAGAAATACAGAAAGAAGAGAAAATACACAGGAAAAATGGAACTAAATAGACCAAAATAAAAATATATTCAAACACAGATACTCAACACAAGGAGTCTTAGGAGGGTATACCTTTGCTAATGAAGACCTCATGATGTGAGTATTTGGTATTCGAGGAGCCTCCAATTGTTCAGCCGACTTGGATAACCGACTGCTAGATTACCCATGAAACTCCAAATATTTCAGATAATCATGGGTACTAAACTTCCACAATTTTACATTTACTAATCCCCACAGTGCTAGTCAGTCATGGCCAGAGAAGTCAGCCATTGTAGGCTAACTCTTTTTAGTATCGGATTTTTCTTGTTTCTTTTGCTTCAAAGAGAAAAAAGGGTGGAAGTAGGAATCTTATTCAAGAGTGGAAAGGCTAAACAGGTTGCCTACACGCAAGTACTGGAAACAGAATTTCACTACAACAGAATCAAATGCAGTCAAGATTACAGAATACTAAAGTGTAAAGAATGTATGCAGCCCTCGGCTTGAAATCTTGTGATAATACAAATGGTACAACTTAAAACCACATGTACGGAACAATAGTATCGGGAAAAATGAGATTGTGGGAAACAGCGATTTAATTAGCGAGGCACGCAATCCAAGCTAGGCCACTTGTCCTTATTTGTCAAAACCGTCGTAATATGTGTGGCCTTTGCGCTCCAATAAAACGGGGCGCGGAGGTTAGAAGCTTATAATATCTCATACATAAACTTTCTTTCACCCTTTACGGAGTACACCATCATTATTATCAAGCGAACTTAGTTTGGGTGAGGGACACTGTAAGTGATAAAATAAAAGTACTTCTGACGTCTTTCCCCCACTCGAAATAGATTGGGCGGCAACAAAAATAAAATGTGGAAGTTATAGGAAATGTTCGTCGCCCTCACAACTTTGGTAATTTAACTAGTATGAGGAACGGAAGTAGTGAATATTTACCCTAGCCAAGGGCCTTCGAACCGAAAACGTTCAGAATAACGGTGATCCTAGCGGCGATCTTCCAACCCCGTGTATTAAGCCACTAGCAATGCTCGCTGTTGTACTTGCTGCCCACAACAGTTGGCTCCTAGGAATTTATGGATCACGAAGCTTAGGTGGGGAGGACATCGACAACATCATAGGTTGGATGTGATACGAAGTCAAGCCCATTCCCCAGATGCTGGCTTCCACTAAACAGTGGAAGATGAGGTCGGCTCCGGCACCGATGTTCTTTTAGCTCCAAAGTTAGATGGGTCCTGAGTCCTGACGCACAAGTTACCGAACGATAGTAGGAGTAAGTACTAAGTAACTAAGTCCTAGTAAGAGCAGCATCAGGACGGTTCATCGAAAACTATCTATGCGATACATGTAGCGCACCGCTATGTATAGATGGGAGAAATAAAAAAAGGAACCAAAAGTGTAGAAAGGAAAAGAGGGAAATGGAGGAAAAGAGGGCCTGAGTGGAAAGACATGAGCTACAAGAAGAAAGTATGGAATAACGATATTAGGCGAAGTTAAAATAACAACTTCGAATAACATGGCATGATATACATTACTGATAACATAGATATTATGAGCTCCTTGCTGGCTTTTAATTGCAATAGCATTGATGTTGTCTACCTTTGAGGAAGCAAAAGCGCGGAAGGAAATGAAAAATAAAAATGGGTTAGAGGAGGGTAAGTCTAATCCCCGGCTAGTAAGATACGGAGTATGCCGTTCTTGATCGATCTGGGAGGTGTAGAGTTGATAACACAATGAATTTGTTACCCTCTCAGAGACAATAGTGTTCCTCCATACAGGTGAAGACTGAAGTTTAAAATAGGCCTGACTTGAACAGCGGATACTCCAGAGAAAAGAAATTTAAATGGTCCCACCCAGCAATCAAAGTGCGTCCATCACTTGCAAAGATCGTTTGTATCCTAGTGAGAGAGGACTAAGTTGCGTTGATGGATAAACATTACCGCGAGTAATGAACTTTTTCAGATGATAATAATAATAATAAGAAGAAGAAGAAGAAGAATAATAATAATAATAATAATAAATCAATGAGTAAATAAGAGGAGGGTAAAAAGGAAGAAAGAAAATGCAAACAACAAGTACCAACTAGTAAAGACTCAGTAAGCGCAGCTTGAGTTCGGCCCACCCGACCAATCGCCGACAAGGCCGTGGTAATTTTCAAAGAACAATCTAAATTCTCCGCCCGACTACTAGGAGTGACCATTATGAACCTGCGGCCCGAGCTCCTTTTTCAGTAAGGAGCAGATTTGCACAGTAGTTGACTTGCATGGTTGTTCAGTACTACCCAGTGGAGCCTTGGCAGTTGACATGCCTCGTGCTGATGGTATATAGGCAGACCACCAGCCCTAGTGGCTGCCGATGATAATCAACTCTCATGCAGCTTACCTGAAATGGCAATGTGCTTACCAGGCGGCGTTGTCTGTAGCCGGACCCAAGTACTAACTAGTACCAAGTATTGTATCCTCCATTATGCAGTGTGCTTTGGAGTAATTGTTAATTGGGGCGGTTGATAGCTACTATTCACATGGAAAAGCAAGTATATGGTTAAAAATATCATCTGCGTAAGTGGCCGGGTACATACCCAGAAGCGAGCCATCATGTTTTTCTTCCCTTGCCGTTCCGAGCAGGGACAACACCGAAGAAGCGATAGATATACTGGCAGAAGTTTATTGATCTTATGTTGAATATTTGTATATCTTCTGTATTATCAGTATAGAGCAACATATATCCGCATGATATATGCGCATACCCCTTGCCCTAAGGAACTTATACTGACTTACTCTAATGGTATGGTACCATACTAGGGAGGAGTGTTCTAATTTAATCAATAGTGCTAAACGCTTAAGCCACCAAAGACCAGTCATTATTACGCCCCCATCAGTCGGAAATAAAGCCGAAAAACAATGCCTTACGTCGTATAAGCCTCATAACCTCTCTGCTAACCCTTTATCTTCCTGTTCTTTGTTTCACTTCGGCTCTTTATTTATAGTTCGTTATTGATGGAAGTCGCATGCTGGGCAGGCCCGTCATTCGCTGGATTTTCGTTGCTACCTATGAAAATCGACGACAAACCCGGATCCTACTGGGCAACTGAAACAGACGCGTATCTCCCTCAGCTGCACGGACTTCGAATCAAACTCCACTCACACCCGGGAATGGCCGAAGGTCCATAAGGATATCATCCATGGATGGGGCAAGGGAGCTCCTTACCAGGTAGGGACTCTAGTCTCTGAGTACATACAGGAATTGCTCAGACTACTTGACACTCTTTGTATTTCGTCTATTGGAGATGGAAGTGCGGAGAATGTGTAAATTTTTGGCCGTTTTCCCGGCATAGCTTTCTCTGTCTGATGCAGACAATTACCACGGCACTTACATTCCTAAGAGAAAGGGGAGGGCGAGAAAGAAGAAACTTACACTCAGTGAAAGTACTGTACAGCATGTATGAACTCGACTTCACCATCCTATGTTTCGCCATGTTGTATGGACAGATTCTCACACCGGACTGCCGCAAGTGCCCACAATTTATGCACAGTCCACCTAAAGGCCCCATAGTAAAGGCTGGATTCAGAGGAATTTTACAGCAAGACTTGATTTTATTCTAACCATTTCTACTAGTATTACAGTTTGATAATAATATGACTTGCATTTTATACCGTCGATCATGTCACCGGCCGCTTTAGGTAGAGACCCGTTATACTGATATTCCCTTTACAGCCTGGAGCTTTTTGCAATTTCGGCTATAATCTAATTATTTCAGTGAAACATAAGCAAAAGTGCAAAAAGCGGCTCGGGCTACAACTGCAGAGTTGCTTACCAGGCTATGCAAATTCTTGGTGGTTTCCAAAAACGGTCGGATTTCGTTTAGAGAAACAAATGGTCCAGGTCCTCCGTACATACTCCGGGTAGTCGAGTAGCAATAATTACGCACTGCCATTCAATAACAATGGATGATACGGGAGCCGAGCGCCTATTACCTAAGAGGCTAGTACTGCACTCCTTGTGGAGACGAACAGTGCACAAAGCGCAACCTCGGGAGTACGGAGTACTACACAGTAAGGACAGACTGATATCCACTGGTGGGCCTTGTAAATTGCACTAGTCCCAACTACTAGTAGTGCTTAGGGGCGGGTGTCCAACGAAGAGTATGGGGGCAAAATCTCCGCCACTGCGAGCGCCTTGGGGTTCGCTTAACACGGTAAGGCAACCCCTGCGCAACCGCTACGTGTTTGTCTGCGAAGGGCAATGGGACATGTTCGGGATCCGGTTATGTAATGCACGGTACTGTAGGGTGTCAAGGCAACATGAAAATTCTAACCTAGTCAAAAGCTGCCAAGCGCGATGGCTTATAAGACAGAGGAATGGATAGAAGGAGAAGGAAAAAACCCAGAAGTTTATCCGAAAGCCAATGGAGATAAGGATCCTACTTCGATATTCTCCTCCAATTCTGGGAAGCCACTAGCAATCACTCCATAATGTGGATACTACGTTCTAGTTCCTGCAAGACAATACCACGCCGAGTAGGACGACCTCCGGATATCCGCTGATGGTCAGATAATACTCTCTGGAGTAATTAGGGAGGCCGATAGTACACCGTATTCAAGCACAGTGGTGGATTTGGGTGGGGGGCCGAATTGGAATGATGGTAATAGGTGGGATTCCAAGTTCAGCGGACACTGCAATCTTACGGGCATGGAAATGAAAGTTCGGCCGAGCTATCGACGATTATTTAGTCCCATCGACTACTGCATCTCACCTGCAGCTAATCAAGTTAATCATTAACCACCAACCTAAGTTTCCACTGTTCCATTTTCTTCCTTCCACACTTGTTGTTGTGAAGTACTTTTCTTGCGTGTTCTCCGTTACACGGTGTCGGGCTCTTGTCAGCAGCTGCTCGCGACTCTACTAGGAAACCTGACACCGGGGTCTTCCCGAGTCCACCGTATACTAACTACGATAGTGTTCCTATCCGGCAAGAGGGGGAATCGTCGTAATTTGCGTTGTCATATCTCACTGGATGCCCGTGTTGCTGGCCACTAAACACTCCAATCGAGGACTGTTACGGATTGTAGATTGGGGTCTCGACTTCGGACCGACTCAAGTGGGGACACATGAACAACAACACAACAATAGTATTGTATTTTTAATAACCCATCGTTACATTTGGCCATTGATGCACGTGCTTAGAACAAATGCAGCAATGCCTTCCCCTTCCCATAGGAAACTCATACCTGCATACAAGGCATATGCTATCGTAAGTGGTAATGGCATGCAACATTTGATCACAATTGAAACCATTTTGTTGCTTTCCCTTTTTCATTAACCGTTCCAAGAAACATACATGGCAGACTACCGTTATTTGACGAAGCCAAGCAAGGTGCAATGTTATTGAATGCTGCCTGTCGGCTGCTAGATGTATCTGGGAAGAAGGGTTCCTATCGACAATCCTCTGGGATATCAAGACATACCTATGTAGTCAATGGTCGGTCAAGGAGGCCCTACACAGAGAGCTTTCTGCATCATATGAAGATGTAACTTCCATTAGCATGCAATTTGTTACTGGGGCCTTCTGCTAGAGTCTTCGCCTGGTCATAGATACAACTTGAGAGACGTAAAAGGCATCCAAAACCGTACACATTGATCCCTTTTCCCCCATAGAACGAACCGGCTAAGACCCAATAGAATACCTGGATACTATATAGGGGTGGTATGCCTATCGGCTGTCTCACACTCCTGGGACATAATCTTACGAGCGGCTTATTATTGTTGCATACGCCGTAAGTACACCGCACATGAGGGCTAACGCTATGACATCAAAGGGTCATGCTAGGCAAACGTAACGGGAGGTGGGCGACATTAGATCCTGTGGTAACGACCAGATATTGGTAGCATAAGCATATGGGATAATGGCGGAAATGCAACTTGTACTTCCCCCCGACACACTAATGTAGTATGTATATCAACAAGGAATATCCTGGTAAGTCTTGCAGGAGCTACTAATTCTAGAAGGTCTCGCTGCTCACCCCGAGCATGTTAAACATGGTGGAAGCTGTGGTGTTTCCTTGTTTTTCTCTTCTTTTCTTTCCCTTCTGTGATCTTCTATCCTCTTATTTAGCAAGGCGCAATGATCAAGGCGGAATTTTCCAGGCACAAAGAGGTTTTGTGTACATATGCTAGTGCTGTACATAAATTGTTATTGTATCCTCCCCCTTTGTGCCCTTCGACACCGCACCACTGACTAAGACTATGTCTCCATTATGAAGACATTGAATTAACTTAGTACGTCAATCAAATAGGACTGCCGGTTATATTAAACTAAATTCGTTAATTTATCACTATACTTCTCTTGCAGGACGATGTAGGCGATAACAGCTTTAGCAGAACTATATCTTCCATAACCAACCTGCCTGGTTAAAGCATACCTCGAAGTCTACACCTCCAAACAACCCAATCGCACCGTAAAGATCGAAGTCTCCCTCTAGTCCCTCGATGCTTCCAGCGTCTTCATCAACTTCTTCGTGAAGGTCCCAGCCTCCTACCAGGCAACCATTTCGAGTAAAGAAGATGTCAACTCTACACTTCTTAATTTTGCTTTCCAAATTTGTGCTTGAGTTGCCAGGGCGACGAAACGTCATTCCCAAGCCCACAGTCTCACCCACAGCGAATGCACTTGTGAACTCTCTACCGCCCCATGAATCATTGACAAAACGGCATCCATCGTCAGAGAATACGCCAATGCTTCCTCTCTCCCAACCGGGAGACCGCCAATACGGATACGGATGCGCTATAAACCCAATAGAGAACCCACTGGAATCAGTAGATACTGCTCCCGGCCCCGGCCCTTCGCAGAGCCCGAGCAGTTTGACTTCGAAGTATATAGTTTTACCCCTCTCGGTGACGAAAGGTGACTCCAAAGTGGGAAAATAGAGTGGAAGATTTGTTGATATCAAAGTATCACCATTTCTAGCCCTGGTAGATCCCTTCCAGCAGCCCTGAGAAACAAAGGCAAAGGTACCATGAAACTCCTTTGGCAGCACAGGACGGAGATCATGCTCTTGTACAGACGTATACACAGTGGCTGATGGCTTAATAGGCAGATGTAGAGGAAACTTGTCACAAAATTCATGTGCACGTTCTGCATCATCCCCAGAGGCGTTCCCGTTTCTCGACGATAAGAAGCCTAATGCTGGCGGCGGTGGTAAAGTAGCGGTATCAGGTACAGCCTCCTGCCAGTTATGGTACGGAGGAGATTTTGAGCCGTATTGGGCGGCAGCTTCTTCGCCATAAGCTGGTGGCGCTTTCGACTCATTCTTAATTTCATTAGCCATTCGGTGTTCATACGATAGGCTTGTACAAGAAACAATAAGAGGTTGAAGTGAGTATAACAGCGCAATCAGTTTTTTTGTTCAGAGTGCAGCTCGTTGAATTTGTTCCTGAAGTTTGGATGTGACACAGAGTTACAGTAGGTTGTAGCACAACAATCGCGGGGTTTGAAGAGTGGCACAACTGAAATCTTTAGTGGCAACCTTTGAACTTACAATGTCAGGGAGACGCCAAGGAATGATGTTTTATGTGAAGTCGCTAGTTATTACGCATTTCCTGATCAGAACCATGGTATATACCATATAAGCATTTGTCAAGTCCATAAACTGACATCCTCTGTCAAATATAAACTCTTGGAATTATGCGTCCTGTCTTGCCCATGTAAATGGGAGAAAAAAAATTGGATGTAGATTAGAATGGCAGCAGGGTTTTAATCTACTAGGGTTTCTTAGAATATAAGAGTCGGATTGTTAAACAAGGTGAGAGAAGTGTTCATTGATAACATTACCATAGACTATCATTGTGATAAGAAACCCCAAAACCCTACACTGGCTTGGTTTAAATTGCCAGCAAAAGCTTATATAGGATGGGAGCCTCTACTCTGAAGTGGTTACTTATGGCACGAAATAAAAATCCCAGTTGCACCTGAGGGTGCCTAGTATGTGAGTCAATTCAGATGTCAATCAAATGGTACACAACAGGCAAATTAGGAGGCATACCAAGTAATTACTAGTAGTTAGTTAACTACAAACTCCTAGTTAGTAATCGGCTTGTTTCACCGGCCCCTTTCAGGGAAAACAAAACAAAACAAAAGAAGAAGAAAAAATAATAATAATAATATAATAAAAAAATTTTAAATAAGAAAGGAAAAATAAAAAATTAAGCGAGAGAGTGGTCTGACAGCTTTGGGCCCAATGGCCAATGTGACAGTCGTAGCAGCCACAATACTTGACCCCACCCTCACATATCTGGATGTGACCTGTACTATGTCTCCTTCGAACCTTAGAGCAACTTGAATGAATCTCTAGGAAGTAGCTTTTGATTTTTACTACTCGCTATCGACTCTTACCACCCATGTCACAAGTTCCTGTGTTCACAATTGTCGCAAACAGTTCCAGGGCAAAAGATAACCTGTCTACACTGTCTTGCTAATAGCATAAATGATATTATCCAAAGATGGACCAGAGCATAAGACCCCGTAGGCCATCGCTTACACAACATCTGCAGCGCATACTGCACATTGATGGCATTGGAAAAGTAAGTCAGGTTAATACTCTGTTCTCTTACATTCTACTGTACTACCCCACACCCCAAAGGACGCTCCTGTTGATTCTTGAGAACAGAGGCATAGCAGTAGCTCACAGTCACCTCGTGCGGGTCTCACAGCTTCGCCCCAGCAACAACAATTCACACAACAAAGGGTACAAATACCACAGAGTTACATTCATGTCAATGAAAATTCATCTCATACTCACACCCGGAATCATACCTCCTATTCTTATACATCATTGGACTCGAGACTTACCCCTATGAATGGAGAAAATCCTGGAGGAATTCCAAAATCGTCAACTCGTGAGACTTCTTTCCGAGGCCCACAAGCATCTTGTACTCCTGAGGAAACGCCGGCAAATTTTGAGAATTGCGTTTCACCCACATGGTCCAGAAATTCTGCCGTTCGAAATGAGAGGCGGGCTACACTGCGACTAGAGGCAGAGAGGGTAGAGCTCGAGAAAAAGCTCATGAAGCTTGAGCAAGCTGAATCAACTAAGGATCTCGGGTCAATGAGACGGGAACCGCGCCGTCTCACCAAGAAGCAGCCATTCGGCAGCTCAAGTAGAGCGTCAAGTGTAAGTGCAGATGAATCTAGGGCTTCTAAGCGGATTTCTTCTATTTTTTCAAGCTCGAGACGCTCATCGAGATCGCGATCAAGCTCTTTAAATGAGGGCGATAGAGGCACCCCAAGACCTCAGTCGTTTGGATCCGAATGTGCCACACGTACACTATCCACGACCTTGCCTGAACGCCTCAGCACAGCAATCTCCAAGGAGCTAGCTGTCCAAAGCAACCCGCTACTTGCAAATCATACATCGCCCCTACGATCACAGAAGCTATCGCACTCAGAAGTACCCATGGCAGCTGGTCAAGGAACTGAGAGCAATAAACATTTCGATAGACGTGATGCAGGTACCTCTCATGTGCAGGGGCTCAAAAGGCTTAGGCAAGAGCCAATGCAACAAGTTGCCCCAATAACGATGTCCATATCAGATGTACAACAAGTTTCGGATTCTTCAGAATTAGATCGTTCATCATTTGCAGCAGCATTGAACCTCAGGAAAAGAGTCTCTGGCAAAGCACAATCACATGGGCGTCTCTCACAGTCTACACCCTCTCAAAGCACCACAGCACAAAAAGAGAACCGTCGTGAACTAGGTGCCACTGGTCCCTCAAGGAAAACATCGGCATCTGTCACCACCCTGAATACTAACCATCGCGGTATTCGAAAGCCTCTCATTGCCTTGCAGTTAGGCTCGTCGGGGAGCGTACCGGTTAGAACATCACGAGGCAAACCTCAGGGACATCACAAGCGTTTCAAATCGTCTCCACTTGCATGCTTTCCAACAACGAGTAACACCACTTTTCAGTCTCTCGACGCCGTTCCAACTGAACAAGCATCCGCAAGTCCTGAGGGCATGTGTCACACGGAGCCTTCTGCATTCTCCAAAGTAACTGCCTCTTGTAATACAAATCCACCACGCCCAATGGCTTCATTGCGACTGTCGAATGGAGATGGTAGTGAAGGCAGACACGTTCCAGTCAACCCTCTTGATCTCACGCACATAGCTAAGGAGAGTCTACGGACCAGTCTACCGAATAGTCCAGGGTTATCAGATCATAGCCCTAAGCCATATTCGAATCCAGCAATCCCCAATACTCAACCAAGAGGGCCTCTTGCTTTAAACCAGGGTTTGCAGCAGACACTTGAGTCTGTAAAACCACATGATTACGGTTCGCCAGGCAATGCACTGGAAACACACCCACACAACCACCCAGCGAGATCTGGGAGTCAAGATGGGGGTCTTGCAGCATCACAAACGCGTCTGGAAGGGGGAAACGCCTCCATGCACACGTTTAATACCAACTTTAGTGGTCGAGGGGAGCCCTCGTCACCTATAGGTGGTTCAACAAGTGCCTTGGGTTACAAAGTAGGACGTTCAACCGTTTCATTGTCGGCTAGCTTGTCCCAGGATCCAGAATCGGAGGATTACAATACCGCAGATGAAGCTGCATCGACTGCTTCAAAGTCGCAAAGCGATGAATCTATCCCCGTCAAACAATTGAATATTGCTTCTGTTCCTGCCGGTCTTAGCACCTTTGCTAATAAAGGCTCATCCTCCAGGCTTCATCATCCCCCCCCAGCTGTGCACCCTAACGCACCAGCCCTCTGGACAGAACAATCTGGAGGAAATCCAAGACAACTTCAGCGAGGCCAACGGGTCGCGAAGCTTTTCGTTATTTGCTGCCATTGCGAGTTCTGGCACGACATGCCGTCCGAGGTGTATACAAAACTGGCTTTCCCTGCCAATCCTTCTATTCCTACGAGACACAACCCTGCGTCTTTGGGAGGAATATCGAACTTAAACAATCAAGCTTTTTCTAAGGCGCAAGTAGGTGCTGTGTCAGGCTCATCCATACATTTATCGATTCCAGAATCTACTAGTCCCGGGAATACCTCTATATCAAAGACCGCAGCGCAACTTTCTAACTCTGTTGTGCCATGCTGCTGGTGTGAACATTACATGACCAGAGTGTGTTGTCAAGGATGGACCACAGTGGTTGATTTGCGCGAGAGACATCATTAAACTAATGTGAATTAGCATATTGCTCTCACAAGACATGCGAGCTAGACTGCGAATATGTTTTTTTTGGATCATCTGCCTTGATTTGTCTAACATAGCTTATTATTTTAGTTGTTGTGTAAGATGTTACGAGGCTCGAGAACTAAATATTTTATTTAGCGATCAATTTCTTCACTTTTTTCTCTTTATTTGTTTTCACTGTTTCTTTTTCTTTTTCTTTTTTCCCCTTTTCCCCCTTTCTTCCCTTGTTTTGCCCTTTCCTCCTCCCCAATTTCCTGGGAGATTACTAACAGTTCACTAAAAAAGGGGTAGTGAATTAGACTACTAGAAAACATTTACTCTTGTGTGTAGTAACTTGATTGATCCATGTTGAAGCATGGGAGAAGCCGGTGAGAATCACCACTGACGAGGTATTTTACTGGTAGGACGCTTGTGTATATGTGGAATTGGTGTAACCCTTCTATATTTGCAGACATAGTTATTAATGCATGAAGTGAAGAATCGTCGGTGGATTACGGAGTAGGTCGTCGCAATTCGGCGGTGGAGACCTCCCTAGTAGCTATGTACTTAGAACTAGTAGGACGTGTGGCTAAATGCGGCGGCATCCCCTTTAATAGTTAGTTAACAGGCATCGCAATTACAAAGAGCCAAGGTGTCTATAGTAACTCATCATCTCCCATTTCCCTCTCCAAAATAGCTCTTCCTATGGCTAATTTTAGTAGCCATGGTACGCAAAAGAGGCTTCTCAAATACTTCTTCAACCTCCTCTCTTCCAGAGGGAAATCAGGTATGTCCCCAACTTACCCGCACTCCATGTTCCTCCATTCTATCATCTGGCACGCGCCAGTCCCTCCGCTTTGTCAGTAGCTTTTGTCTGATGCCCGCTAGGAACTAGAGAGTATGTATGACTACCTAGCAAAGGTCATTCTGCTCGGTCCAAGTGGTGCTGGAAAGTAGGTTCCCTGGGAAGTGGATTTCTTTCGTAGCTTTCCACTGACATCCGGAAATGCAGGTCTTGTGTGCTCCACCGATTTGTGAAGAAAGAATGTACGGCTGCGACTTCTGATTAAACCTGTCTCATACTTTCATCTCCCCCGAGCTGGATAGCCGGCTCGCTAATACACCATGCACCTATAGGGAGAGTGCTA